CTTTATCATGATTGTGGTAGGTCAATCATTGTTGTCTCCCACTGATGCTAATATGCATATGTGTGTTAATATGTGTATTGTTCAGGCTGAGCAGTGCAGACAGCGCCACCCTGTGTGGAAACCTGGAGGAGATTCTGACCTTCCAGCAGGGACTATGTTTGGCTTTGGAGGACTGCACCAAGTAAGTCATGCAGGACACAGACCTCCATAGAAACCCTTTTTTTTTTTGTTTGGTTTGTTTGAAATCCTCAGTGGAGGGCAATCGCTATGTACACTGCTCCTGTGCTTTTTTTCTGTACAACGATCAGAAGCCTTTCATAACACCACTCTGCGTTTAACTTAGGTTTAACCTCTCTTTCTACACTGCACACACACTATAGTTAGTGTTCCGCAAAGCTCACCATACTTGATTGTATTTTTGCAATCACTTCCTTCCTCCCAAACATCTCTTCCTATTCAATTCTTCATGTCACAAACATGAGCTTGCAAAGCTGATCTCACACTAGTCACTAGTTGCACATATTTTCTTGAAAAATCTGCATGTCTTTTGGTGCTTTCACACCCTGGTCGGGAAAATCTAGCATTCACATCTACTATAAACAAATGACTGCCCTGGAGGAAAGAAAACACATCGGTCTTAGAAGCTCTGACATACTTTGGAAAATGGTCAGTAGGAATCTGAGACGTGTGCAGCATAAAGCGGCCCTGAAACGCTTGCAGTGTCTTAAACCATATCGTTAGAGCTTTGAGGCCTTGAGGCATCTGAAATTAGTTTGAAATGTAGGTTAGAGGCTCCTTGTGATGCTTTCATGGTGTTCTGTTAATGTGATGAGAAATCAGTTGAGTGTCAAAGAACTCTTAATTTTTCAGGTTTGAAAATGGTCTCATATTCTACCCGCCAGTAAAAATCTGCCCAGGATAATAACAGGTCCACATGTCTGTCTTCTACCAACCCCCCTCTTTCTTCCTTTTCTCTTTCCATCCCTCTGACTTTGACTCTGTTTCTCTGACTTTGCAGGGTCCCAGAGGGGCAGCAACGAGTGGCGGGCTGCTATTTAAACCTGATGTGTCAGATCAAGACTTTGTACCTGGCTTACTGTTCCAGTCATCCGTCAGCTGTGTGCATCCTCACCGACCACAGGTCAGCCGCTGCACACAAAACAGCCAGACAGCACCGGGCCAGAGAGAGGTCTTGCTTTCAAATTACATAAAAAAAACCCTGCCATTCTGACACATAACAACTGGGATGAGCCTCACCTCAATTAGGATGTGGAGTAAAAAACAAACACTAAATGCACTTCTCGTGTGGATTTTTGTGTCATTAAAAACTGCTAATAAACTACAAAAGGAAATGAAATCTGTGCTGTTCAAAGGACATA